ACATTCCTTAAGTAGCAAACTTCCTCCTTCCCAAACTGACCCTTCTCCAGCTTAACATGCAATTAGTTAGTTTTCAGAAGATAAACAACAACTTGTAGATGTGCCAAGTTATCATCCCAATTTCTACCGTACACAAGTATATCATCAAAGAAAACTAACACAAATTTGCATAAATAATCCTAAATATCTCATTCATTAATGCTTGAAATGTAGAAGGAGCATTAGCAAGTCCAAAAGGCATTAACAAAAATTCTTAGTGACCTTGGCAAGTTCGAAAAGCAGTTTTTTCAACATCTGGTGAGTGCATACGAACTTGGTGATAGCCTGACTTTAAGTCCAATTTTGTGAAGTAGTGACCTCCTGTCAATTCATCCAATAGCTCATCAATTATTGGAATTGGAAACTATCTTTCACTATGATCTCATTCAAAGCCCCATAATCTATACACATTTGCCACAACCCATCATTCTTTTCTACTAGTATAACTGGGGAAGAATATGGACGGATGCTATGTCGAATTATTCCAGCTCCTAGTAGCTCTTTCACAATTTTCTCAATCTCATTTTTTTTTTTAAATGAGGATAACGCTATGGTCGGACAGCCACAGGCCCACGTCCAGGCAAAATAGGAATTCGATGATCTTGCTCTCTTTGCTGAGGAAGGCTGTTTGGAAGATTTAATATCTCTTGGTATTCCTGCAGAAGATTTTCAATCTGCAATAGTATACAATCAGTTTTATTAGAAGGGATGTTACCATTTACTGCATGTAGCACAACTCCATGTTGCCGGTTGTGAAGCTTTGTGATTGATGATGTCTTATCGGCCTTTTGTTGTGCATTCATTATGCTACGCAAGGCACACTCTTTGTTATTCCAAATAAATTTCATGAGAAGCTTTTCAAAGTCCCATCCAATAGGACTCAACATGCTTAGCCACTGAGTGCCAAGAACAACATCATACACCTCCAATGGTAAAACAAAGAAGTCAATGACAAATGAAGTCCTTTGGAGTTTAAGATAAATTTTCTTACATTTACCATGGCTTATTAACCTTTCACCTGATGCTACCGTGACCTCCAGTACACCAATTGAGTTTGTTTGTAGCTTTGCTTGTAGTGCAACCCGAGAATTGACAAAGTTATGTGTAGATCCAGAATCAATAAGCACCATTACTGGCTGTCTTTGTAAACTCCTCCAGACTCGCATAGTTGTTGGTACTTGTACCCTAGTCATGGCATGCAATGAGATTTCTGGTATGGCACTTTCAGTAACCTCTATCTCCGCGTCTATATTTTCATCATCTTCATCAGGTTCCCAGCAGGCTTTTATATGAAATAACTTTGCACAGTTATGACCCTTAACATATCTCTCATTGCAGTGAAAGCACAATCTCAAACGACGCCTCTTAGCTAATTCGTCTGGAGTCATTCATTTTGAAGTTGATATAGTGGCTGCTTTTACTGTACTGCGTTCTGGAGCTGATAGTGGGGTATTAGTTGCAGGCCTTGTCATCATCACAGGTGTTCTTCTTTGCGCAACATCATGAGCCTCGTATAATTTGCCAATCCGATAGCGATAGTAAGAGTTGCTGGTAAGTTGGCCTGCACATCAGTTCGAATATTTTCCTTTAGCCTAGTGATAAAACAACTCACTTTCTTCTCCTGGGACAAATGGCCGACTTTGGCTAAAAGCTTCTCAAAGTCCCCTTGATAGTCAACCATAATTCCAAATTGTCACAGCCAAATGAGTTCGCCAAATGCGTCTTCAAACTGGTTGGTGCCAAAGCGAAAAATATCCCTTGTTTGAAGTTCTTCAAAGTAACATATATAATCTCCTGCTCCAACATTTGGAACCATAATTGAGCATCACCTTCTAGATGGAATGAACCCAACATGACTTTATCTGATTCCCGAATTTCATGCAATGAAAAACCATGTCTAGGTTGGTCACATCCATTATAATGAGGAAAATCAAGTTTCAGTGTTTTTGGAATGAAAGTACTGCTTCCTATCCCTCCCTTGTAGGAAGAACCCTCCACCTCCTCTTTTCCCTTACCATGAGTTTGCTAGTTGATTTTTTCCTTGTTTTCTGAAATTTTTTCCAGTATGTCTTTCTGACCCGCAGCTACAGAGGCCACAATTTCTTCAAGTTTTGTCAATCTATCTTGAAGATCCATCGTGACGCTCTGATACCAAATATGATAGGAGCTAAAGAATTAACCATTATGAATAGCAAAAACAACAAATAATTTTGGTTTATATGAGGAACCAATACCTCCCAGATTCTCTCAAGAGATTTGTTAAATTTGTTCATGCTTTATTATCGAACAGCTCCGATACTTAAATAGAGCTAGGCACAACGTTTACAGGCAATAAAGTAGGAAATTGATAACAAACTAACAGACAAACTCATTCAATCTGAAAAATAAGAGAAAATATCTTTGCAGACACTCCACAACTGCCTTGACTTGAAGTCATATCAGAAAGAATTATATGTTGTTGACGAAGATATCCTTTTGTTAATTGCTTACTGGTTTCAGTGCAATGTAATAATATGTTATGTGTGGTTAATGGTTGATTCTGTTTTGTGATTGTTGTGTTGAACTGTTATTTGGCTTTTGTGAAATGAAGGGACAATCAACATTGCTCTAGTTGTTCAAGAAACCATTTTGTTGGAAGGGTTTTGTGTTATCTGCTAAGGCTTATAATGTGTATTATGATTCCTTTAGGTACTTGACTATAATGGATGCCGACAATATTATAGCCATTTCTGAGAATGGGGTGGACTTTGAAAATGGCGTTCACCACCGACTCCTGATCTCTGGAGAGGAAATTACTTCCAAGAAAGTAAATGCGATTCCCAATGGAAGCACAGAAGTCGAGGGATTGAGCTTGAATCTAGAAAACAATCTGGAGTTGAATGACAATGTGACTCTTAATTCTTCTGTCGAAAGAATCATGGATGAATCTACAATGCCACCAAAAGGCGATTCCGTCACCATTTCCAAGGTAGGAGATTTGGAACCTTTTAGCTGGCTGAATAGCTTAAACTGATTCAAAATGATGTATGCTTAAAAATTACTTTTCTTGAAAGTAAGTTTTTCTAGTAAATAAAATTTGAAAAACATGTTTGACAAAGTAACTTACAACAATTTTGATTTACTTTTAATCATAGCTAATCTTGCTCTCAGTTATCGATTTATTTATAGGAACTTGGAGTTGAGGAGTCTGAAGAGTCTAAGAGTTCTAAATCACAGAAGGGCATGAGCAAGGCCAAGAACAGGAAGTCCATAAGCATCAGACATGGGAGAGATGTGGTGAAATCTTCTGATGGTTCAAATGGTTCCGCCGATCACAAATCATGTCCGAAACAGTTGTCTGCTCCTGGAACAAAAAGTAGGTCAATTAATGGAAGGCAAGCTGCTGACAACTCAAGAACAGCCTCTCCTCAAAGTCCTATAGCTGGAGATGTCAAACCCCATAGATTGGGTGTTCTTCCAAGCTATAATTTCAGTTTTAAATGCAATGAAAGAGCTGAGAAAAGAAGAGAGGTTGGCCTTCATTTAAACCAGTCATACCGACTTCTGATGTTTCCTGAATGACATGGGCCTTAGATATTTATCCTTTTTCTGTTTGAGCAGTTCTATTCAAAACTTGAGGAAAAGATTCATGCAAAGGAAGAGGAGAAGAGTAATTTGCAAGCCAAAACTAAGGTGAGATTTCGTATAATATTAACTTTCAGTGGTGGACTATGAGATCGAGTTTCTTCGTCTTTATTTGTTATCATAAATAGGAAACACAGGAAGCTGAGATTAAAATGTTTAGGAAGAGTTTGAATTTCAAAGCAACACCAATGCCAAGCTTTTATCAGGAACCTCCTCCTCCGAAGCTGGAACTGAAGAAGGTAATTTTCCACACATTTTGAATGTTACAATTTTTATTTTCCGTTTATAGTACGGAATGCTGTGTTAAAACGTAATAATGAAGTTGGAACAGTTATGCCGCGGATTAACCTTTTAAGTTTAGTTCTTATGCTTGATCGATTGAATTTGGATGTACATATGTTTGGATAAAATGTTGATGAATGCTTTTGATGCAACTATGCAAGAACTTATTTCAGTTGCTGCTTTTGAACACAAACAGCACATATTACGGTACTTGTGTGACTGATGTGTTTTTGGATAATGTGATGGCATTAGAACTACACAAGTTACAATCTTTTTGGCAAAATCTGGAGAACACTTGCTATGCTTAGACTATTTCAAGGGTGCTTGCTATTTGATTTCGAAGTCTGATATTTAGTACATGCTTTGTGAAAATTGTAGAACAATCATACACTGACACATGAGAAAAAATGTTGACACGGTCTCTCCACTTCACTGTAAACTGTTAAATTACTTGTGCAGCATTTCAAGCAACATATTCTGATGCATTATTTTTGTTTGGTTAGTTGAATCATTTTCTTGCATCATCACTATTTATTTTATGTTGAGACCCCCAGTATTTGACCCAATGGAGGACTTTGATTCTGTTGAAATGCTGATTGGAAATTCGGAAATACAAAAGAAAGCTTAAAATAGTTGGATGCAGTTCTAGAATTAGAAACAAAGAAGTATCTTATGTTTAGGAATGAAAAATACAACCGGAAAAGTTGCACATTCTTGTCCTATCATGTATCCTTATATCCTTGAACGAATCCAGCGAGAATATGGACACATACAAAGTTATTTGTGAATTCCTCAGGATACTTTAGCAATTTAAAGTACTAAATAAAGATCAGAGTTTGTTCTGGCTTCAGCCTATGGCAATTTTCAATAATGAATTTTCCAGAAGACAAGCCATCCTCAGTTCTTATATTTAAGAAAACATTGACCCTCAATGAATATATATTGTCATAGGGGTACCCATTTTCCTAGTGATATTGCCCGACCTATCAGTGCAATCCACATATATTTCTGTGACCGCGAGGACAAATATCCATCCTAAAATATACGTTAATTTACCTTAAGAAAAAAAATAATATAGTAAACTTTTCGACTCATTGCCCCTTTTATATTCACTACTCATTGGTCAATAAATAAAATTTATGAACACCACCAAAATTTATAAAGTCCACTGACTCGTCTACTTTCTCATTAACATAGCCAACGGCATCTCTAACTGAGTCAACCATTATTAACATTATATTGCAAATTACAACAATAAAATATCAAATAACTATGATTGATTTGAAGATAATATGCGGGAGGACTTCTTGTAGTATGATTAACTACTCATTTCATTTATATAAATAAAATTTTTAAGTCTGTAGAACGGATTTTAAAACTCTTAGTTATGATACCTTTACTGTAGCAAATCCTAATCAAGATACCCTAGACTAAGAAGTAATATCATTTAATTTTCTTTCAAAATCATAAATGCGGAAAAACTATTATTATTATTTTCTTTTGTTTTAACATGATAAATAGTAATGAATTTCATCTATGAAAAGAATTTGTAGAAAACTTTTATATTTAACAAAACGTAAGACAATTAAATTAAAAGTTAACTTTATTTCGAAACGAAGTCAATATTGAAGTGTGTCAGTACTAAGTTTGTCTTATCTCACAAAAGTAGATGTTACAAGATTCAACATAACACCATTTTGAGGGAGAGGTCATGGTTCGATTCCTAGGGGATGTGATAGAAATCCTTAAGGGGTACGATGGGTACAAGTCTTTCAAAGCGGATCTTGGGACACATGCTCAAGTCGTTACAGAAAAATGCATGATTTTTTGTAATCTTTGTGGCTATGCCATTAACTCATATGTGCTATTTGCTCTAGGAGAACATGCGTCGATCATACTCTCACTAGTTTCTATTGGGTTTTCCTGGATTCTAATCCTTGACTTCTGACTTAGGTTGAATCCTGTCACCAATTGAGCAACTTGCCCAATTGGTATATGATTCACTTAAATCTTTCATAAGGTAGAAGCGAATAATTCGAATATTGGGGGATTCAAAAGAAATTGGTGATGGGTAAGATAGAAACATGTTGTCTCAAAGTAGATAGTACGTATGAATTAATGACTTAGGCATAGGCCCCAGTTGTTACGACCTATTAGCTAATGTGTTGTCTCGTATGATTACTTTTCGGGTTGTAATGAATGCCTTTGTAGTGGAAAAACAATGCATCCTCTATACCTTAAACTGTTGGTGCTGGGTAGGCACCTTTTACCAACATTAATTTCTGTTGTGTGTGTCATTTTCAAGGTTATTGATCATGTTTGGCTAACCTTGAACAGTTTGCTTTCAGAAGTTTTAAAATAAATAGCCTTTTGATTGATTTAAGTTGTAAATAAATATTAATTTCAACATCAATTTATATTTTTTTACTGAAAAGTAAGAACTAAGTAACATTTTTAACCAAAAGTTGCCATCACTTTTGTCTGGCATAAATCATTGTTAGTTCTTGTTTGGATAAAATATTAAGTTGCTGAAATTGTAACGTGATAGAAATGTGTATGAATAAGTTGGTAGTAATTGTGGATCCTACGAAATGTGTGGTTTAAATTAATGTTTGACTTTGAGCATTAAATTATAAGGAAATTATACTATATAAACAAACGTACACAACTTTCCTGGGTTCATTTTAGATCCTTTTACAGAGGTGTTTGCTTTGTTCTGTTTGTACTTGGTATCAATTCTCTTATGCTTGCAAATAATACTCCTAAATCAGTATTGCTTTTCTAAGATTCTTGCACAGATCCTTCACTAGAATTCTGTGTGTGAAAATTTACCCGTAAAATTATTTTTGCTTCTTATGTGACTTCTGATGCCTAATATTTGATCCTTTGATGTAGATACCTCCAACAAGAGCCAAATCTCCCAAGCTTGGTCGGAAAAAGAGTTCGTCTATTGCTGACTCTGAGGAAGAGGGTGCTTGTGCAGGTAGGCTAAGCTTGGGTGAGAATTTGTCACAAAATAATCCTGACAAAGGACCACCTATTCATGCTAAGAAGCCTCTACGTAAGTCTCTTCCTAAGTTGCCCTCCGAGAAAACCAGCTTTTCCAATGAGAAAAGAAAATCCACATCTCGCAAGATCACTGTTTCCGCAGACACAAGCGAAGCTTCAAATGATACACAAATAGGGGAGGAAAGAACAGTTGCCGAGCAAAGCTTGAGTCAGCCCAATGGAGATGCAGTGCTTGTTATTGAAGCTCAAGAACAGAATGTGTGAGTGCTATGTCAATGGCACTGAAAGCTGGATGTTTATCTTATAAGGCGTCTTTAGTTACCATCTTTGCCTAAAATATTGAAGACGTTTGAATAAGAGAATTCACCCAAAAATACAGGCATGAAAATACATTGTATTAAGGTTAGCTTCTTTTTTTTTTCCCCAGTCAGCAACAAGGTTTGGTTCTTGAATTCTTGAATATGCGTTTTAAGCTTTGCTGAGTGTGGTCAATTTGTAACCCGAAGTTATTTTTAAATATGCTTGTCACCTGATGTCAAAAAATGGAAATTTTGGGGGGTTTTCTGTCGAAAAATTATTGAAGATCAAATTATTGGTTTTAGGTTTGAGCTTGTTTTGCTTTTGAAGTCTGGGGTGAACAACTGACATCTTTTATCAACTAGGGTGTATTTTATTTGTCGAATTGCTCTGTTTTTCTTGTCATCGTTTGTCGGTTGCTTATTGCACATCAAGTACAATGGACAAGATTTTAGCTTCCCACTTTTTTTATAATGCTTTCCAATCTAATTTACATTGTCAAACACGCCACAAGAATTTATGCACGATGTAATCTTATTACTGCTAACTGCAGCCAGCACGTGTCAATTAGCTCACTCAGTTGGCTGAGTTGGGATACTTTAAGGTTGCCTTTTCTGATTCTCTAGTTCGTGTCGCCTTTTCTATTAAACTATATGATGTGGAATACAGCAGGCTAGAGATTGAGAACAGGTAAAAT